TTTCTATAATTTTGTCATTTTAAGCACGTTGTATAATGAAATCATATAGTATGTAATCTTTTAGAATTGGCTTTTTTCAGCATAATTCTCTGAAGATTCACCCTTGTAAGTGGCATGTATCAATAGTTCATTCTTTTTTTTATTGATGAGTAGTAGTCACATGTTCAGTTTAAAAAATAAATAAAAAGTAAGTAAACCTGCCAAACTGCCTTCCAGAGGGCTGAGAGGAGGTTTTTAAATTAAGAATTCAATTTCTGGGGCTGGCCTGGTGCTGTAGTGGTTAAGTTCACGCCCTCCGCTTAGGCAGCCCGGGGTTTGCAGGTTCGGATCCCGGGTGTGGACCTACACACCATTCGTCAAGCCATGCTGTGGCAGCACGCCACATACAAAATAGAGGAAGATTGGAACAGATGTTAGCTCAGCAACAACCTTCGTCAAGCAAAAAGAGGAAGATTGGCAACAGATATTAACTAAGGCCAATCTTCCTCACCAAAAAAAAAAAAAGAGAGCTCAATTTCTTTAATAGTTATAGGGCTATTCAAATATCTATTTCATATTGAGTTAGTTGTGGTAGTCAGTGTTCTTTGAGGAACTGCTCCATTTCATCTAAGTTGTCCAGTTTGCATGTGTAAAGCTGTTCATAGGATTCCTTATTATCCTTTTGATGTCTGCAGAATCTGTGGTGACAGCTCCTGTTTCATTTCTAATATTGGTAATTCGGGTCTTTTTAAATCCTTTTCAGTCTTGCTAGAGATAATTTTATTAATCTTTTCAAAGAACTATCTCTTTGTTTCATTGATTTTCTCTACTGTTTTTCTGTTTTCAATGTCATTGATTTCTGCTCTTTATTATTCTTTCCTTCTGCTTGCTTTGGGTTTGTTTTGCTCTTCTTTTTCTAGCTTCCTGAGGTGGGGGCTCAAATTATTGATTTGATACTTTCTCTTTTCTACTATAAGAATTTAGTGCCATCAACTTCCCTCTCAGCACTGCCTTAGCTGGGTTCCACAAATTTGGATACGTTGTATTTCTATTTTAATTCCATTGTAATCCATTTTAATTCAAATGGATTTAAAATTGAAATCCATTTTCAACTCAGTTTTTACAAATCCCTTGAGATTTCCTTTTTAACCCATGGATTACTTATAACTGTATGGTTTTGACTCCAATCATATGGAGATTTTTCTATCTTTGATATTGAACTCTAATTTGATTTCATTATGAATTTGCTCTATCTTGGCATACATCCTGTGGGAACTTGAAAAGAATGTGTATTCTCCTCTTGTTGGCTGTAGCGTTCTATAAATTGCAATTAAATTCTGTTGGTTGATGGAGTTGTTGACTTCTCCTATATCCTTGCTCATTTTCTAAGTGTTCTATCAATTACTTAGAGACAGGGGTTAAAGTCTCTGACTCTAATTGTAAAGTTGCCTATTTCTCCTTTCAGTTCTATCAGTTTTTGCTTCAGATATTTTGTAGTTCTATTGTTTGGTGCACACACTTTTTAACATTGTTATTTCTTCCTGGTGGATTGACATTTTTATCATAATTTAATGCCCCTTTCTGTCTCTGACAACTTTCTTTGCTTGGAAGTCTACTTTATCTGATATTAATATAGCCACTCCTGCTTTTCTTTGATTAATGTTTGCACAACTTTTTTTTACCCTTTTACTTTCAGCATCCCTATATCATTACATTTGGAGTCAGTTTCTTGTACACACTATATAGTTAGGTGATGTCTTTTAATCCACTCTGCAATCTCTGGTATACATAGACCATTTACATCTAAGTCAGAGATTCAGTCTGCCATTTCATTTCTTGTTTGTTGTTTATTCCCTCTGGTTTGTTCTGTTTCTCTGTTTTCTTTTTCCTGTCTTCCCGTTACCTGGACATATTTTAGAATTCCACTTTTATTTATCTATGATGTTTTTGAGTGTATCTCTTCATATAGATTTTTAGTTTTGCTCTAGGTATTACATTATATAAACATAACTTATCAAAGTCTACTGATGTCATCATTTTACCAGTTCAAGTGACGTGTAGATATCTTACCTCCCTTTATGTCTCTCTACTCTTCTCCATTTATAATATAATTGTCTTAAACATTTCCTCAACTGCATTTAACAGTATGATCATTTTTGCTTCAGTTGACAAACAAAACTTAGAAAACTCAAAAGGAGAAGGAAACTCTATTGCGTTTACCCGTATTTTTGCTTTACCTGTTTTCATTCCTTCTAGATATTCCAAAATGCCTTCTTTCATCATTTTATTCCTGTTTAGGGAATTCTGTAGCCATTCTTTTAGGGTAGGTCTGCTGGAGATAAATTCACTTAGTTTCCTTTCATCTGACAATGTCTTGATTCCCCTTCATTCCTAAAGGATATTTTCTCTGGATATAGGACTCTGAGCTCACAGTTCTTTTCTTTCAGCACTTGAAAAACGTCCTGCCACTGACTTCTGGCTTCCACAGTTTCTGATGAGAAATCTACTGCCATTCAAATTGTTTTTCTCCTATAGGTAACATATTGTTTCTCTCTTGCTGCTTTCAAGGTTTTTTCTCTGGCATTAGTTTTCAGAAGTTTGACTATTCTGTAGCTTGGTACAGATTTCTTTGGGTTTTTCCTGCCTGGGGTTTGCTCAACTTCCTGAATATGTTTAAATCTTTTGCTTAATTGGGGACGTTTTCAGCCATTATTTCTTCCAATATTTTTTCAGTCACTTCCCTTCTTTTTCCTCTCGTTCTGGGATTGCAATACCAAAAATGTTAGACCTTTTGTTATACTCCCACACATCCTTGAGGCTCTGTTAATTTTCATTTTAGTCTTTTTGTCTTTGTTGTTCAGACTGGATAAATTCTATTGTTCTATCTTCAAGTTCACGGATTCTTTCCTGTCTCTTCCATTCTCCTTTTGAGCCCATTCATTGAGCTTTTTATTTCAGTTACTATATTTTTCAATTCTAAAATTTCTTCTCTATATCTTAAATTTCTTTAAGACTTTCTATTTCCTTTCTGAATATTTTTTTAATTTGTTTCAAGTGTGTTCCTAATTTCTCATTGAAGCATTTCTATGACGGCGGCTTTAAAGTCTTTGTCAGATAATATCTCACATTATTGGCGTCTGTTGATTGTCCTTTTACATTCAGTTTGAGATTTTCCTAGTTCTTGATCTGATTAGTGATTTCCAATTGAAGGTTGGATATTTAGGGTATTATTCTATGAGACTCTGGATCTTATTTAAACTTGTTTTAGCTGACACTCCACTAGGCCTCCTCTGGTACCACCAGAGTGGGGAGTGGCTCACTACTACTAGGTGGGAATGGAAATCCAGGATCCCCAGATGGTCTCGGCTGACACCATGGAGGGGAAATCTCATTACCAACCTGTTAAGATGAAGACCCAGCTCCACACTCAGCCTTCTTTGACACCACCCTGGCAGACGTGTTAGGGTGCCTTGTTACACTCTGGGAAGAGTAAAAGTCTAGATTTCCCACTCGGCCTATACTAGTGGAGGTGAGTGGGGGCACAGTTTTTTCTCTGGTATTTGTCTAGAGCAGAGCGGTTATTGTCTAAAAGTTTTCTGTCTTACTAGGCTGCCTCTTCCCTGGTTCCTCGGCTAGAGAGAACAGGCTTTAATTGGGACTTTGATCTTTTTTTGTCTTTACCTATTTTTGTTTCTAGGTTACCAGTTTTTTCAGCTCCAAGTCTAAGTTATATGAAACAGAAAAGAAAACCGAAGGAACTAACTCACCACCCTGTCATTTCCTGGGTCCCAAAGTTCCTAGTTAGTGTGCCTCCTTCTCGCCTCCTTTCAGAGTCTTCTGATGTTTATAATGCCCAGGGGTTAGTTGTACTTAGCAGGAAGAATAGGGAAAAGTACTTCTACTCCATCTTCCCCAGAAGTGGAAGTCTGTACAGAGTTCACTGACCTCCCCACCTTCCGGGGACACTGGGATCTGGGGCCTACGTGAAAGAATGTGTCTGGGCTCGGAGCCGGAGATGGCCACTTCGACCTTGACCCCAAGGCACAAGTTACTAAGACAACGTCCTGCATCATGTTCCTTGTCTGGGCTGGCCACCTCAACGGGCACCTGACCAGACTATAGAAACATCCCATCCATGAGAACTAGAAGATAAAAACATCCCCTCTGTGGAACAAGAAGAAATAACTCAAAGTATCCAATTGTCTAAAACCCCAAGTTAGAGCTTAGATAACCTCAAAGTAAAAGGAAGTCACAAGCATAGGACATTTGGGAGTCTCACTGAGGAAAGGACGCTTTGCTTCAGACCCGGACAATCAATACTCCTGCCCGCCGTACAAACTATTGGGACTTCCCGGCTGATTGTGGTGTGGATGTTGTAAGTACTGATTTGTTGTTCCCCTGTATCCTTGCTCCTCCTTCTGTTTCCCTTTCTCAATAAACTTCAATTGCTTAAACAACCAAATAGCCTTGGCGGTCCCTGCCATTCCTTGCCCTTCGCAGCTGTGGACAACAAAGTCTCACAACTAACTTTCAAGAAACTACCACTGGTTGAGTTTTGGTATATTATCAGAGAATATCCATAATTATGTTAAAAGGCTATTAAAATAATCTTTCCTTTTCCAACTACATATTTGTGTGAGACCAGAATTTTCCTTATATATTTCAACCAAAACAACCCACCACAAAATAGAATGCAGAAGCAGAAATAAGAATCTAGCTGCCACTAAAAAGATTTGTAAAAAAAGAAATCCTAGTTTTCACATCAAATTTTTTGTTTAAAAAAATAATTTTTTATAAAAATACATTATGTATGTTAACATATATGACTTAATTTTAAAATTAAAAATAAATATCTCGGCATTTTCTCAGTTTTAATTTTCAAAATTGTAAATGTCAATAGATATAACCCACATAAATAATTATTGAGGTCCTCAATAATTTTTAAGAGTGTAAAAAGTGTCCTGAAACCAAAAGTTTTGAGAACTTGTGAGGTAGAGAAAACTAATACAGGAAATTCTTACTTCCTCTCCCAAGAGTTGTAGGTCTGGTTTGTGAGCGCGCTGTCTAGTTCCTGGTGCCAATTCAGGTCGAACCCCTGATGCTGTTGGAAGGACGGCAACATATTCTTGATTATTTTCCGTAACAGGAACTCCTTGCAGGATTCTGCAGTGTGATAAAAACAATAAATTTGTTTTTTAAGTCATTGATAAAGCAAAAGACGTTTGTTCTCATTTCATATCTCTGCCCAAATAAACATATTGACGTTTGATATCTGTACCAAACAGAGATTGTGCAGAAGTCAGATAATCCAAAATAGGAAATAATTCAAAAATAATTTATGTTTGGTTCTGAAGACATTTTAGTAGTAAGCTTTTTGATGGTTTTGGTTTTGTTTTATGATATTGGAATCATAAATTCACTCTATGGAAGCTTGATTATGAAACAGGTAAAAGTTCTCTCCCTTCTGATCACTGACCCGCCCCCGGCTCCAAGCTCACAGGAAATGGTTTCACGTCTTAGACTGAGGAAAGCGGAACTGCCTCCTCACATGAGCGTTTTCTCTTCCGGATTTGTATCTTGCCAGGGGGAGCGGAGAACTGCTACGGCCTCAGGTCTTCCCTTCTAGGCTACAAACTACATATACACCAGGATAGACACAGAAGGTTCAAAGCTTAGCAACATAAGCTTTAATTAAACCAAGGAGATGAGGTAAATCAAAATTCGGAGGTAAAATGTGTCATTAATGACTGACTTACAGACTGTTGAAAATACATTAACTTTTGTGCTGCAGCACTTTCTATAAACGAAATATAAATGAGTATGAAGAGGGCTCACACAGACTGTATAGCTGTATCAGCTTCACACGGAAGTATGTAGAGCCACTGTTCCCTCCACCTTTTTAGTATACCGTTACATAAGCAGACAATCACTTTATGAGCCACCAAATGCGGAGACTAAGCACACACAAACCCAACTGATTTCAGCTACTTAATAATATGCTGAAACCCACAGATCCTGTCATACAAGCTCTTAAAAAATCAGGTCCACCCAGAGCTCAGTTGGAGAAGGTAGGGTTGTGCCAAAGCAGAGTCATGGAAAAAAGCCCCCTATCTTATCCTGTCAAATATTTGAATTCAAGGAGAAGACAAAGCTCAACTCCCAGCTCAGTGAATATAGTGGACTGCTGCTCAAAATACTATCCATCCTCCTTCTAACGTGCTTTCCTGAACTGCTGAGGATGGAGACGTAAAACTCTCCTGCAGCCAGTGTCCTCAATGTGATTTAGGATCCAGTAAGCAGATGCACTCACAGACAATCTGGAAGGAAGAAGGTTATGATGTTTCTGTTGGCAAGCAGTCATGGCAATGTTGAGTTCTTCTGTAGCAATGTAGCTCCAGAGTCGAAAGCTGTGACAGTAGAGGCCACGTGATCCCTGAATCTCAGCTAAGGTGCTATGTTGCCAATGTTGGGTTCCAGAATTCCTGTCAGAAGCAGCAGCAACCTCGGCAGCCAGTTAAGCATGCTGCATGAGTCATCTCTATGAGCCCTCCCTGCCTAGAGCCCAATCTTCCTACTGACTTTATAAGCATTCAGTTCCCATTACTAAATTCCCATTACCTTTTTCCCTAAAATAGCCCAAAATATTTCTGTTTTCTGCAACTGAATCTTGACTGATATATCCAGGAAAAACAAAAGAACAGGGTAAAGTTTATCGGCTAGAACAAGAAGCCAGGAGAGTATATACATCAAGGTCAGTAAAGTATTTCCAAAATCAGGGAGGACAGAGGGACTTAAGAAGCTACCTTGAGGCACTGTTACATTTTTACCTGACCCTAAGCCAAAAACAAGGTAGTAACAGTCATTCACATCTTATTATCTTTTGCCCTTTCATGTTCCAAAAGCTCACTAGAGAAACAGGAATTGTGGTTGGTTGGAGGGAAAGTGAAAGGAGTCACTGGACATTTTAGAGCACATAGCTCTGATAAACATAAATGGGGGACCCCAGTGGGAAGTCTCCCCAACGGTAGCAACTGTTCCTTCATGACAAAGATGAGTCAATGACTTTGACATTTTTCTCCAGATTTTTATTTCCAGAGAAAAGAACCAAACCTTTCTAGAGTTATCCCCTTTGGAAACACCACCATCTCAGTAGTTTAGACTGAAATCTCTTCATCTCCAGCCTCTCTCTGACTCCCGACAATAATCTCTAGTCCTGTTCCTTCTGCCTCCAAAATGTCTCTCCTGTCCATTGCATTTTCTCTCATCTGAGTCCCATGATGACATCTTTGCTCATCCCTTACCTCCAGGCTCTCCCTCCTCCAATCCATCCTATATACCCCTGCCAGAGTTGTCATCAGTCACCCCCTCTCCAAATACTTTAATGACTACACACACTGTATAAAACCCAAGCGCCTGAGCCTGGCAGTCAGGGGCCTCCACAGTCTGGGCACCATCTACATTACCACTCCTACTTCCTTCCCCTAATACCCAGTCCAACCTACATTCACTTTGCAAAAGGTGCCCTAGGTGCTGAGATTACTAAGGGGCAATAGGAGAGACAGACAAACCAAGTTACAGTACAGTGCGACTACAGAAGTGATAAAAACAGGCTTTCAGATCTCAACTCCTCCATGAGACCTTTACAAATGCCCCTCTGCCCGGTCAAAATCCATCTTTGCCTCCCTAGTTTTCCTGCCGCGTTTGATCGGTTCTTTCATTATAAAATATACTATACTTTATTCTATCTTTTCCATAGTAGATCATAGGCTAGTTTAGGGAGAAAAGTGATTCTTATTCATTTTCTGTCTCCCATGGGTCCAAATGTAGTAGGTACTGACTAAGTATTGTTGAGCTTTGGCTGACAGAGAAAAGTACCACAGCTAAAGCTAGTCCCAGACCCGTCCTGAGGGACTGAGAACATAGGGTCAGCAAGATGTACTGCATTGGTTCTTAAAGCATGTTCCCTAACCAGCATCATCAGCACCACACAGGAACTTGCTGGAAACGCAGGTTCTTGAGCCCCATCACACCTGATGAATCAGAACCTCTGGCGGTAGAGCCCAGCTCCACCTGTGTTTTACGCAGCCCTGCAGGTGATTCAGATGCACGCTGAAGTTCCAGAATCACTGAGGTACTACAATCTTTCCTAAAACAACCTGATCATAAGAATATCCTGGGTTGCTCGTCAAATCTACAGCTTTCCAGATCCCTCCTCTGGAGATTCTAATTCTGTAGGTTCTGAGAATTGATACACCTATCAAACACTCCAGGTGGTCCTTAGCCTCTGGGGAAGCCTGGAAATCACTGATATATGGGAAGAGCTAGTTGTTGGAATGAAGTTAAAAACCCCAGTTGTACTTTAGCCCCAGTTTGGCCAATTGGTGTGCTATGTCGGGCAGGTCACTTTTGCCTCCTAAGGCTCAGTTTCCTCATCTATAAATGGCAACAATGATTGGGTCTTTCAGGGTCTATTGCTTAGGAATAATATACGTGAAGAGCTTGAACATAGTACATGCCCAGTAAGTTGCTGATATTACAATCACTATTGTTATTATCACTGAGGGGACTGAATAAGGAAACAAGCCACCTCTCTCCTAGTGACTCAAACATCCTTCCCAGTCAACATCCGTCTCCCATGGGGCCAGAGACATAAAGTGTACTTCTTCTTGTAGGTTGCCATCAAAGAAGTTTGGAAAGCCTTTGCTCTAAGCTTTATGGACACTCATAAAAAATCTCTGCACACATCTTCTGTGAGTTCCACAAAAGTGCCCATGAGCTCCACACTGAGAAGCGTGGAGAAGGGCTCTCCCTCCTTCGTGTGACTCTAACGGAGAACCTTCCCCCATCACATCTCCCCATCTATTCCTTAGCAAAGCTATCTTGCTCCTTGGGGTACAAAACCTGGGTGCAGCTTCACAGGGAAATTTTAAGAGTGCTCATGTATAAAAGTTTCACCAAAGTAATACTATTCCGGACATTTTCTTTTAGATTTTTTTTAATTTTTCCTTTCTCCCCAAAGCCCCCTGGTAAATAGTTGTATATTTTTAGTTGTGGGTCCTTCTAGTCATGGCATGTGGGATGCCTCCTCAGCATGGCTTGATGAGCGGTGCCATATCCACATCCAGTATCCGAACTGGCGAAACCCTGGGCCGCTGAAGCGGAGTGCGCAAACTTAACCACTCGGCCACGGCCACGGGGCCCTCCCTCAGACATTTCTTTGAAGAGTTTGCAGCAAGCTACTAAATTGATTTCACAACCCACTTACTGGGTCACAATCCACAATTTAGAAAACAGTAACTTACAAAAACTGTTGTTTGGAAAGCGAACTCCTAAGTCTAGAAAAGACTTTAGAAGCTCATCTTCTTGAAGAAGCTAATCTACAAATAATTTTCTTTAGTATAATCTTTAAAAATCTGCAGCAGAGGTAAAGAATACTTTCAAAAATTCAGGGAACACAGTCTTAATAAAATAGTAAATCTAAAGGAGAATAAGAGTATAACTATCTAGAAATTTTTCTTACAAAACATGATTAGGGAGGGGGGAATTTTATATTTAATCATTGTAACTCCACTGCTACATGCAAACAGTGACATCTGGTGGAATGACATTGCTTTGCTTTACAAAAAATATTCCAGCTTTCATATATTGGCAGTTATGAAATCAGACAAATTTCCAAATAATTCCTTTCTGGGTATTTCCATATAAAAATAAAAATGCACTAATCTAATATATTAGCAAACATTGCTGGTGCATACTGAAATAGTTTTTTGTCATTCCAATCTGTATTTTTTAAAATATGCTTAAGTCTTACTTAGGTATAGGGACTACTTGCTGAAAATAGATGTAATAGAAATCTAATTGAGGGTGCTACTGATTCTAGTTCTAACTCTGCCACCAACTGTGATTTGGGGTGCAAAGTTTTGCCTCAGTTTCCTCCTCCATAGTGTGAGAGGGCTAGCCTAGGGGAAGGTTGAGGCCTCGTACAGCTCTAACCCACATGCTTCTGTCACACCTATCACCAGCCAGACCTCAAAAAGGGATTAAGTCTTTGGCTCTTTGGCATAATGTCTTGGGTCATTGCCTGGATTATGCAGCAAGGAACAAGGCCAAGTAAGGGATGGGAGTGGGGCTAGGATTAGACTTGACCATGGAGGAATGGCACA